AAAAAAAAAAAAAACTCAACCAAATATCAGCATGAAAGCATCAACTGAAACTTGGAAAAAAAAAAGCATAGGTGAGAGTTGAACCTTTTGCTTTGCGAGATCTTGGCAGCCAGTGAAGTTCTCAGGGAACTTGCAGGTGCCAAATTGAACTGTGTATGCTCTGGCAAAGTTTGCTCCACTTGTGGCCAGCCTCTTCTTGTCATTCAATTCCTGCAGCAATATTGACAATAACCATTGATCACCAACTTCATCAGGTTCAGCAATTTTACTCTCACAAAATCAATAGGACTGTGTTGATTGACGTTTTTCAGTTTTCATAGCAAACAAACCTTGTTAGCTTTGCTCTTTTCAAGGTATTCATCGAAGACACTAGCATTTGCAGAAGAGGAGGCAGCAGCTGTGGTGAAAAGGGTAGCTGCCAAATAGAGCATAGCAGCTCTTCTTCCTTCACTGGCACGTGATTCTTTGGGATCAGAAACTTTAGCCTGCTGGGCTCTGATCACAGGCAACTTGCGACCGCCAGACACAACTGGGGAAGCAACTGATGGCACTGAAGCAAGCTTGGCATTAAGCTCAGATGACCCAGTGCCTGAGATGGCATAGTTGCATGCCAAAACGCTCGAGTTCATGGCTGCCATTGCTGCAAAAGGAAATTTGTTTACTACACCAAAGAAATGGAGCTTAATTGGCTTTTTCCGCAAAGTCCTTTTGAGTAATAATAGATTTGTGAATGAGGATATTTGATAAGGAGTGATGTGGCAGGAGGAGATGATGAATTGGATAAAAGATTGTGGTTCGAGTGTGGATAAGGTGAGATTGCCTCACTCCTATTGGCAAACTTTGCTCTTCATGCTATTTTTGGTGCAACTAAAGTTGTGTGGCAAGCTTGAATTTTGGGCCCACTTTGGAATCTGAAATTTGTGCTTGGTATCTCTCTGCTTCACTGGGAGCCAGGGGGCTCTGGCCAGATAACAAGATTTACAACTCCAATGCTTTTGCATCAAGCTTGGAAACTTGAATAGGAGAATCATCTCTTGGAATATTTTAATGTCTTTTCATTTATGTTTATTAAAACACTTTATTAATGTTTATTCCCCACAAAGCCCTTCAATCTGATTCTGCAAGTTAACATTACAGCAATACACAACCTGAACCTAACTGCCATTTTCAGACTCATTCCTGTTTTATGAATAGAGGGCCATTTTCTGGTAGCTGTAGCTTGACTCTATCACGAAATCCGGAATGTAAGACACCCATATGTGGTCCTGGATTCTTTGAATTATGGCGTTGATTGGTCTGCAACCAAAGCAAAGCAAAATATAGAAGAAGGCTTGCAAAAGAGTGAAGCTGCGAATAAAAACTGCACAGAAACAGTACTCACTCCAGCACACAAAGTGAAGTAAAAGCTTCTTTCAAAGAGTCTGTCTGCTTCAGGACCTTCACTTAATTGTTTGGCATAAAGGTCAAAAAGGTTATATGATCAGATTATCATAGTAAATTAATGTCATGTTATTATCAATTATGATATGTCAATACAACATGTTATCATCAATTATAATATGTTAATATATTACATCAATAACACGCGATATATAATGACAAATAATATTTTGATTAAGTCAATCATTAATCATAAATATTTTTTAACTCAAAATAAAAATATAAAAATATATTTAATTTAAAATAAAAATAAATAAATTTGACTGTAATAAAAGTTTAAGGACTTATTTAAAGTTTTTGTAATAATTTAAGAGTTTATTTTATACATTATGTCATTAAAATTTAACTATTTTATAATTAATATAACAAAAATAAATTTGAGAAAATTGAACTTGATTCTATTATGGTTATATTCGAAAAAATTTTCATTAATTCGATTATGAACTAAATAATTATCTAATTTGGTTAATCAATTATTCATCCATTAAAATTATATTTCTAATATCGATTTGATTAATTTTCATAGCACATGCAGTTAAAATTACATTTTAATCAAAGTAATCGTTTGTATGGTGCCATTTTACTAATTTCTCAACCGAATTTTCCATCACCTTAAAAATTTCCAAACTAATTTTTCTTTTATAAAAACAAAAACATGGAATGAGGGGGTCATTCGTTTATATAAACAAAACACTATATAAGGAAAAATGGCCCCGTGTGTCACAATTTTGTAGCACCAACTGAAACTTGAATCATAAAATTTTATACATTTACTAAAAATATTAAAAATTTTCAATAGGAAATATGAAAAAAAAAAAGTTTTTAAATTCAATTATATTAAAGTTTATAATGTTGCAATTAAAAGGGATATTATTGTAACTCAAAGGTCAGTAATTGCAGTTGAAAGACTAGGGAAGTTGCAAAATCAAGAAAAGGAAAGGGAGATTGACAATTGACATGCTTCATATTGCCCCAGAAGTACAGGCACCTGTTAGGAAATAGAATAACATGTCATAACACTAAATGGTTTGCCAGAAAAAAAACACCTCAGGGTAGGTCCTGAAATACAAAAGAACAAGAATATCTTCGAAAGTTATATGTAAAACAAGTTTTCTACATATAAAGTCCTTCTGGCACCCCTTCTTTCTTCTTGAACATCACCTTTTCCTTGGCCTTTTTAAAGTCTGCATGCGTCACCTGAAATATGGGATTTTACAAAATCAAACGCTTAATTCAAGCAATTACCGATGAATGCCTTGATTTAGATAAAACTTCCAGAAGCAATCTGAATCATATCAACCATGTACTAATGAGAGTGACTCAGGATACGGATTACAGGTGCTGATGACAAGCCTAATTCTACATAGGCAAGATTACAGTTCCAATTACAGTCTACCATTATGCAAGCCCAAAACATAAGCAGGTTATCAAGAATATAAACCTAAAATAGAAGAAAACAGAGCAACTCTACTTGCAGAGTGCAAAAACCAGGGAGTTTATTGCTGTCTCACGAGGGATCATCATTAGCAGCAGGAAACTTCTTGATGCTACACTTTTCAATTAATTCATTTATATTTATTGTTTAACAGTGAATGATATGCGAAAATGTCCCGTTCTCTACTGCAGGAGATACATCATTCTGCAATGTAATTCTCAAGTAGATAGAATGACATAAAATATCTGTACTTAATCCTCTCCTTTTTTTTTCCCCCTTTTCTCACAATACAATGAAAAATTAGCATATCACATTGCATCCTATGAAAACTTGAAAGGAAAAAAGAAGAAGAGAATTTGATGTATATTTTTCTATATTGTTAAAGCATTTCCAACTCAATCTGGAAGTTAGAAATAAAATACCTTCACCTTATAAGAAAAGAGAGTACAGAATTTCTTTATTAGGAATTTATATGACTCACCTTCATGCGACGCTCCCTTAAAGCAAGTAAACCAGCTTCAGTACATATTGCCTTTATATCTGCCCCAGAGAACTCATCTTTAGTCATAACAAACTCTTCCAAGTTGACATCATCAGCCAATGTCATCCTTGATGTATGTATCTGCAGTCCACAGTTTTAAATGTGGCTAAGTATAATAATGAATCAAGCTTTATAGACTCAACCTACATAAAGAAAAATTAGAAGCGAGAGAAAGACATATTCAATGTACAGCTTCAACACAATCATGCAATGCCACACATGCCTGGAAAATGCGCCTCCTTGTTTTGATGTCAGGGAGAGGAAATTCAATCTTCCTGTCAATTCGACCAGGGCGAAGTAAAGCTGGATCAAGACTTTCAATTCTATTTGTTGCAAGAATAACCTTGACATCTCCTCTTGAATCAAAGCCATCTAATTGGTTCAGCAACTCCAACATGGTCCTCTGAATTTCACGTTCACCACCAGAATGGGCATCGTACCTGTGGGGTATTTTAATGAGAAATATTGCAAGTGTCATTCCATCAAGGCATAACTGTTTCACTAAATTACCTCTTAGTACCAACTGCATCTATTTCATCAATAAAGACAATTGAAGGGGAGAGATCATCAGCAACTCTGAAAAGTTCCCTCACTAACTTGGGACCATCTCCCAAGTACTTCTGAATTAACTCACTGCCAACAACACGTAAGAAAGTTGCTGATGTAGAATTTGCCACTGCCTGCACAAATGATATGACAAGCTCAGACTTTATTGATACAGCAAAGCCAACCAGTGCAGTCAAGCATGCCATACTAGTGCAAACAAATAGCTATTACCAAAATAAATAAAGGGATAAAAGAGTAGGAAGCATAACAATGAATTTATTTTCCATAGTAACTCAATCAAAAAACACAAATTGTAGTCACATAGAATTTGGGTCCTCTGGTATGCGTGATCATGTCTGTGCCTCAAAACCTAGCCACTGAAGGAAACTAACCTTGATGTTAAGATGATGAAGGTAAGTATAACCCATCATGCAAATAGAATTAACAGGGGTAAAAAGCCCATAAATGTAGCGAAAGACTCAAAACCTAGCCACACATGGATGTCCCATTATAACCGATGGAAGATTAATAACAAACTGAACATGAAACAACAATGGGCATAAAAAATAAAACACTCAATGTATGAAGACCAGGAAAAGATTTTCACATTCTAGCAAGTTAAGAAACTCCCGATATAGATTAATTATGAGGATGTTGTCTATGCTTGTCCAAGAAATTATACACAATAGACGTTTTAGGAATTCAGTTGTCTTCGTGCAACTAAAAATATGGCCCATCCAAACTGATTTTTGGAAGTTTTTCATCTCTGATTAATTTTGAAAAACAGAGGGGTGAGAAAAGAGAAAAGACAAAGTCATCAATGATTACAGATAGATACCCATATAAACAAAATAGTCTGGCAGGAAAAGATAAGAATGCACACCTTTGCAAGCAAGGTCTTGCCTGTCCCAGGCTCTCCATACAAAATAACTCCTTTTGGAGGTTTGATACCAATGTCCTCATATAATTCAGGATGAGTAAGAGGCAGCTCAACTGCCTCTTTAATCTCCTGTATCTGGGCATCCAATCCTCCTATATCGGCATAAGATTCCAATGGAGCCTTTTCAACCTTCATCACCGATACCATTGGATCGACTTCATCTTGCAGAAGTCCAACTACAGAAAGAACCTGAGAGGTCACATACAATAAGAGAGCATAAACATTTCTTTCCAGGAACAGAGAACTGACCTGAGATAAACCATAATATCTTTGAGAAAATGCTTAACAATCTAATAAAAGAGCAGATGCAGAAGTATCAAATGCAAGAACAGAAATCAATTTATCCATTCAATATAAAACCCATTGAAAACCAGGTTATTTCAGTTAGATATTGCATCCACAGTAGGGGTTGAATCATATCCCCAAGGACTACAACATGACCCAACTAAGATTGCAAACAAACCAAGTTGATAAGCCAAACACCCCTACTTGAGCTCGTTCCCTCAAATTCTATATCAAGCTCATGTGCGTTCATTTCTTGAGAATAAAGAGCTTGAGCATATTGTTAACTGATTTATAAGTTGAAGCTCAATTAAACGTTCATTTTAAAGCTCATCTAGGACATACAGTTTAAGCTTGGATAAGAATAATATCAAGATTAAAACCCAGTTATCTAGTACTACAATTTGCACATGAATTCACTCATATATCATAATTGTCCAACCACTAATTTGAAGCCTAATCGAATAGTTTCACTAGCATTTGAATCTACAATGCATAGACAAAACTTCAGCATACAAATAGCTCAGTAAGGTTTCAGCTAAAAACAAACTTATTAAAATTATCTCATTATGAAAGGTAATATCTTGGAGAAATTTCCCTAACATTGGCTCTAAATTGCATATGCAGAAGTTCACCTCATAGTTCTATTTGAATTACCTTATTATGCATCAAAATAGCACAACCAGGCTCCAGCTGGTCTTTATCGACAAACGATAAAATGCCCACATAGTATTCAGGGCCAACGGACGACGAAACAATGGCGTGATTCTCATCGATGAGTTCCTCCAAATTGCCCACACTCATCGGGGAGCCTCTCAAATCATCGACTTTAGATCGGTCTTCCTCGGCTTTCTCTTCCTGGGGCTTTAGCCTTTCCTGGTTAGCGACGAACTCTTCTTCCATTAGTAAATAATCCTTGATCCGCTCCAGCTTTAACAGCCGAAGCTTGCACTTGCTGAGAGGGGTTACCGTTGGAAGCCGCGCAGCCGCTTCTGGACCCTTTTGTTTTCGTTGCTTCCGACCCACCCTGGCCGGGGGTGCAGCTGGCTCGAACTTCTTTTCCTTCTTGTCGGACCCATCGGATTTCCGGTCCCCGGGAAGACCCTGCCGGTTCAGACCACCTGGTGTTCCCTGACCCATGCCTTAGACTATTGCTTTACAGAGCGATGGAAAATGTAGGTGGTTTTGTTCAGATTTTGGCTTTGGGATCAAGCCACCTGCTTTATACGGGGAGTTTTCTTTTTCTTCAGTTCCGCCTCCTATATTTCCTTTTTCCCTTTTAAATAATAGAATAAACCCGAACTTCGAAGGGTTGAAAGGTAAATTCATGGTGAAAATATTATTTTTAAAATCAGGGGAGGAGAGATTTAATTAAGAATATCGTATACGTATTAATGAATTAAATATTTAAATATAATTTATTATTAAAATTAAAATGTATACTTTTCGATTTTCATTTATGAAAAATTCGACGACTAAAGTTGCTATTAGCTTTAATAGGACTAACATGGAACAGCTGGGTGGCTTTGCAATGAAACTTGATAGATGCACTGCAATCCCAAACAAAATTGAGGAGGTGTATATAGAGAATTGAGGTTGGTATGGGAGTCAGGATTATGCAAGATTGATCTACAAATTGATAGCCGGTTTCTCAATTGACGAATCCATGTATCAACTCGGACCTTATAAACGCCATCGAGATGTTACTTCAAAGACAATGTGGTGTTCATATAAGGCATATATACAGGGAAGCCGATGTCTTAGCAGGTTCTCTTTGGAAGAATCTTTTTATTTTATAGTTGCTAGAGAGATTATCTCCTTAGATTGATTTGTCTCCTTAAATAATATCTTTAAAAAAAAAATAATTATCACAAAGAGATAATTTTGAATAAATATAAACATACATTTATCAGTCTTTCTTAATAACATTAATTTTTGTCATCAATTTTCTTAAATATATAAAATTAAAAAAGTTACATTCTGTTTTAAAAAAAATAATTTGGAACGAAAAATTCGATAAATAGTAGATTCTAAAATGAGCATTTAGTCAAAATATCTAAAAAAAATTAATAATTGATTGCGTGGTCCGAAAATGTTTTTTAAGAGCCGAGGTAGCCAGGAACTGATTATACATGTTATGCGAAACAACATAAGAAGAGATATAAAATAGTATTAAAAAAAATAAAAATCAAACAAATTCAATTGCAATTTTATTAAACAGCAGTTTAAGATATTTCAATATGTGATTTATTAGTTAATATATTATTTTTAATTTAAAAAATAAAATTCAAAATTTTAATTAAAAAAAATGAAAAACAACAGCTCAAGACACAATCACACAAAATTCCTCAAGTAAAAGGACAAACGTTGAAGAAATCATGATAGAACCATCCCACCACAATCAAAATCAAAATTGCATCATTTATGTACATTAGAATCACCCAAGTAAAAATCGATTCCATCCTCTACAAGAGACCACAACCAGCATGGAGCCCCCGTCGAGAATCTGGAGAACCTAGATGACTAAGTAAGTAATTTATTATTATTTTTCTAACTGTTACTTGCAAGTTTTTTATTTCATGTAAAAGTGAAAACTCGATGGAATATCAAACACTTGCTCAAACAGCATTTTGTATTCCAAATGTCATCCCTCACGTCAAGTTTTGGGTGTTATCTGTAAACTCAAATTCAACTGTGCTGTCACTTGATTATAATTTAAATGCTAAGGATTGGAATGGATTTGGGCAGAAATTAATATTAATTTAGATTCTAATTCTCTCTTATATTAAGAATATACACTAAGAATATTCATTTGTCTGCATTATTGAAGATTGCAACGTATCAACAAAAATTCTTAAATTTTTTAAAAAGTTAAACGAATCAAAAATTGATGATCTATCTGTATGCTTTCAATTTTTAATCTATATGCGAAAGGAAATGCCACAGCAATGGCATGAGGGAAAGCCAAAAGAGAATCATACCTTACACATGTATGTAGTTCAAAAATTATTCATGCCTCACTAGGTGCACAAATGAACCATAGAAAACAAATAATTATAATTACTGCAAGAATATTTTTAAAGTTCCATCTAATTAATCTGCAAAAGAATAATGTACTTAAAAGACTTGTAGCCCTATTTTTCTTTTGCATACACTAGCTACTCAAGTCCTAGCTAGATAAGATTATATATATGGAAATCAAGTATAAATATAGGAAGATCTGAAGATTGACCCAATATTCTACTTAGCGGAAAAGATTAGCTCAAGAGGTTCAGAAATTAAGAGATTCCCACACCAAGAAAGTCTATCAAGGGAATATCCTTGTGCTTGATTGATCCTTCTCCTTGAGAAACTATATGCAGATTCCATAGTGCAGATCGGTTATCAGTGAACTTCACTAAACCTCTCCTGCACGTCTCACCTTCACTTCCAAAATTTGAGAATGTGAATGAATGATGAACGTGAACAGCCTTGGGTCCAACGAAATTACTGCAGCCTTTCTTAACTAATTCATCCTGATCACTTGCCCTGACATAATCTTTTCTTTCTCTACTGAGACCATCATAATAACCTGATGAATCGTTTGTGATTGTTGATCCACGTCCACTCAGCCAAGAAGGTGATGAATTTGAAGAAGACAGTAACGAGAAACCCTGTCTGTCATGAGTGACTTGAAACCTGCAAAACCCTAACTTGGAGTCAGACTTTGGTTGGGGCCTCGAAAACCCTTCAAATTTACCACCAACATTGTTTTTCTTGGAATGATCAGGATTTCCCCGGCCAGTTCTCTTGCTATAGATTAACAGTTTTTCTCTTTTTCTTCTTGCCATGATAACATGGTAATGATTCTTGACAGCATTATCAGTTCTTCCGGGGAAAAGCCTAGCTATAGAAGCCCATTTGTTTCCTTGAATCCCATGAGCAGTGAGGAGCATCTCTTCTTCCTCTTCTGTAAATGGCTTTTTGTTGATATTAGGATCAAGTTGGTTGTACCATCTCAGTCTGCAGCTTTTGCCTACAAAACATACCAAGACAGTGAATACATAAATCTATTTCTTAAAACTAGAGCAAGTTTGAGAGATCAGATAATAGAAGAGAGATCTAAACCGATATGTCACCTGATCTTCCCTGAAGATGTTGCGCAATGAAATTCCAATTCTTGGGACCATACTGTTCAACAAGCTGCTCAAGTTTCTCATCTTCAGCTGGTCTCCAATGCCCTCTATGGCAACTTTTCTCGCTATCACTGCTATTGCCTCTAAAATTTCCCATCAATAGTTATGACATCAATGACACAAGAAAGAAGATCACAAAAGGTTTAAGAAAACATAAAAAGAAGAAATACTCCCCTAGTGAGAATTATAAAAGTAGGTTGGTTTTAAGAGTTACAGATGAGAAGTCGCTTTTTTTCTGTATGCAAGATAGGGTGTGCTATTTATATATGCATAAACAACAACTGATGACTCTGAGTATGTTTACGAGGCCATTGACTCATTGCCTATTAATTTTTCAAATTAATATTCTTCCATCCACCCCATTTCTCTCTCTCTCTCTCTCATGTATGTCCAAATTTAGGCATAAGGCAAGCTTATTACTTCTATCTGATGTTCTCATCCTTCCCAAAACAGCTTTGCATTATTTATTTTTTAGCAAGTTTGGAAGTAGTTTGTTCGATGCAGTTTATTAGAGTGATGAAAATGGGAATTTAATTAATTTTATGAAAGAGGAAGTTGGTGAAATAATTGCTGTCAAAACTGGTTTTGGTGTAAGGTTGCTTTGTTTAAATGGTAACTTTATAAGCATAATTCTTGTTGTGCAGCTATAGCCTAGCTATATGTATATACACAACTTGCACCTTAATTACAATGCTTATTTTTCACCCACAGTTGAATTGAAGTTCCACCTTAGTTACCAAGCACATGATGATCAACTTCATAGCAAGAAAAGCTTATAACTAATTAAACAGTTAATCCCTCTGTGATTTTTTTGCATATTTGATGAAGACAACTCAACAAAGTTAGTTCATTGCAATGGGAATGGCAAAATTCCTCATCAAAGCAATATGGGATTCCTTTATCTTTCTTCAAAAAGAGAGAAAAGAAGAAAAAGGGATGGGGTGGGGGGGGTGTGAAATAGAGTAGATTTACATAACTTTTTCAACAAGGATTTATAATGCCTTTCCAATTCTATGCAATGCAGTCTATTCTGGCAAGTCTTCAAAGATAATCACACAGAATTGGATTGATATTTGAGAGTTTTGGAGAATTATAGTATTTGTAGGAGTAAAAACATAACATGCACATTGCTAGCATTTATTGTAGTGCACATTCTTTTCTGTTTTCCATCATATTCTGCCTTAAAATCCTCATTATGGAATGCAGTTTTCTAAGTGAGTGTCAATCTTTATGTAAAATGAACTTATAGCAGTTATGGCACAGGGTTTGCTGTGTACAATGGAAGCTTATATGGCATCATCAAGGGTAAAAGGAAATAGTAGAATTCTTACAAAGTACATATCCCTTGCCGTTTGATTGTTACTTCTATTACTTACTTTTGGTTTTTATAAATGAAAAATACATTTGAATATCAAGGGATTATAGATAAACTCTACAATTTTTATTTAAATAAAAAAAATACATTTTTCATTCTACTTTTACATAAGTTAATTATATATATATATCATAATAAATGTTATATTTTAATTAATTATCTCTAGTTAATCAATTATGTATATTGGTTTTAATATATATATATATATATATATATAAATGCTGTTAAAGATGGGAAATTTGATTTAAAATATATTAATTCCTTGTTAATCTTTTTAATGTTAAAGTGTACTTGACTACAAGAAAACGAAACAGAAAAAGCAGCACAAATTAATTTTCTGAGAAAAACTTTCTGCAAGCATAATAATGAAGGAGGTAAGGTATCCACAAATAACTTAAAGTATTTGAGAAAGTGACCCAAATCAGAAAGTTGAAGAACTAGTGATTATTCAAACAAGTTATCTAATACTCTATCAAAGTTAGTTAAAACTTCAACATGGGGCATAAGCATATAGCTCAGTATGGAGATCATGTACATATAGAATAAATAACAACTTTAGACAAGGGAAAAACGTTTAACCAAGCCTAAAAGCAAGGAGGAAAAAAGAGCCATTTGATCTTATGTTCATGTGTATGGATTTGGCTCTTCTCTATTACATTTTAATTGCTTATGTACATATTCATCTTGACACTACACCATACGAAAAATTAAAGATACCCCTGATGAAGAGAAAATCCACAAATACATGTTTATCACTAAGATTCTTCCTCTGCATGCTTTTCATATACTTTGGAAGATTTTTTTTTGCTTTATTTTATTGCAAAGTTTGCCTTAGTTTTGCATGGGAACCAAATTAGTACTCTAAACACGCCTATTACTAATTAAACATAATACAAGCTACTAATATATGCCTATTTCTAATTAATTAGTACTTGGGACAATGGGTTTGAAAGGCGTGCTTGATGAAATCTAGAGTTTTAGTTATTTCTTCGTACAATACAAGTTTGTTTCGATCATTCACTAAAAGGATGGAAACTGCAACATACTTTGTTGAAAGTCAATTTCCTTTTGCAATTGTACATGTTTTCCCTTTTGCACAAGTCAGACGTTTTATGTCAGTAGAAGTCTTTAACCAGTAGCATAAAGACTTTGAATGACATGGTGACTTAATATTAATAAAATTATTTTTTATAAAAAATATATATATATATATATATATTTCTTTCAGATCTTCTAGAATGCATAGTTTAAAAAGGTGGAGGCATATAAATATTTGTTTATAGTCCAAAAATTTGTTGTAGTCTTAATATATATATATATATATATATATATATATATATATATTCCTCTTTTTTAAGGGGAATCATATGCAAATTAAAAAAAAATTCCAAAAGAGCTTAAAATAAGGTAAAGAATTGACTGCCCTCTTTCTTAATGTACCAAAGATGCTTGCACGAAGTGAGTTTCCCTCTCTTTTAATTTGTCTTTTTCTAATGAAAACCATTCGACACCTTAGCTATACATTTTACCAAAAAAGAAACCCATTCAAGCAACATAATAATAATATATATATATATTATTCTTCGTAAACATATATCTGTCAAAGCTTATAAACTCCATCCACGTTTCCCCAACAACACCATTATTTGTTACATCATCAAGCACTAGCGATAGAATATATATAAACCAATATATAACCCTTTCCACTAATACATATCCAAACCCAATTCCCCTTCCATGAAATCCTAGTTTTTGCATGTGGACCCCCATATCAAGCTCGCATGCCAATTAAGCCCCTAACTATCCCTTCTCTTCGTTATCACTTTTAGATGCTCTGATTTATTCTATTCCATCATAGTTTGCATCCTTTCTTCATTTTTTGAAGGCCATAGTTTATATACATACCACATGAAAGTTGCTAAATTGAACTGCCCCCTCAAGGTTTTAAATATTTTCAATATATTTTAATTTATTTTAAAACAAATTTAAAGAATTGGAATAATGATGTATAAATATTAGAAGATATTGTTATTGATGGTCATATCCAAGTAATTTTTTTTTAAAAAAAATATTGTCCAGGTTTTAACTTTAATATGATTATATTGATAATATATATATATATATATATATATATATATATATATATCTTTGAAAATCTTCGATGTTGGGTTTTCAACTCTATTAAAGTCAGAATGTATATATAACAATAAGCTCAACAAATTACTTTGCTGTTGACTTGAGCTATTTGAAAGTTGTTCCAAACAATAGCTTGGTGCTTACTGATACGAGGACCACGAAGTTTCTGCATTTTTTCCATGCTTAAACTAACTCTTATTAATTCCCAGTTAAATAATAGTATGCTAAATAAGATAAACTACAGCTGGTGCGTCCCTTTTTTGGCATGTCTCTTTCGTTTTGTTTTATCACATTTGGTAACAAACATACTCTTTGTTTATTGTACCTAGAGATGGTAATATATGTACACCTTAAATTTATTAATCAATATGCTTCTACCTAGATAATGACACTTGAGCTACCATTATCTATAATTGCATCATTTAACATGTCACCATCTAATTTAGATCAGTTACAATTTCCCTTTCGTTTTCATTTTGCATTTTTGAGTTTTGTTTTTTTAGAATGAAATTTCCTCGTTTTATATATATATATATATATATATATGAATTTTATCTATGATTTCTATTATGATTTCTTAGTCTTTTGTTAAGACTTGGATTTAATTTTCATTTTCAGACTCTGAAGAAGACTGGGATGTAGTTTATACATATATATATAGATATATATATTTATCCTATATAACATTGCTAGTTTATAAGATAACAATCACATAGCATACACACACAATATTTAAACTTGAACATATTATGAATTTATCCAAGAGAAACTCAAATTCAAATCAAATAAATTTAATACCAATAATTTTTAACTCCATTTATATACAAGTAGAAATTATCGGAGCAACCATATTATCACATTTTATATAAAAAATTAATTAAACAAACCAAACAGAAACAGATAAATCAATTAATAAGTCAGCAAATAGTTAACACAAATTCAACACAAAGTTAGATCAAATTCAAGGTTTCATAACTTTCTGCTTACCACTAAAAGAAAGGCTTCATTGCCAACAGAAACAATGGCATAAAACCTTTCTATATCTGTTAATATTAATGACATGCACTTAGGTTAATATGTGTGAATGAATATAAAGTATTGAATAAAGTTTAACGTTCATCATAGAAAAGCATATTTTCTCAGAAATTCTTTTTTTTTTGTTAATTTAAAATTTAAAATTGAATTTAATATTAATGTTTGTTTGTAAACTAATGAGCTCTTAACTAAACAAAACTTCAACAATTAATAATGTTTTGATGACATAATTTCCTCAACTAAGAATTCTTATAAACGTTGTTGCTTCACAAAATTTCTAACATGCATAGTTCGCTTATTTGCATCACATTTTGCTATACAATTAGTTAGTACAACTTTATAATATTTATGGTTAATATTACATTATAAAATTAATTTTCGATTTAAAAGTTTAAAATAATAATGATTTAACAACCGTATGCTTTATATTTTGACATGCCAGTTTGATAAAATCCCTCTTTCGTGGCGGAGGCCGGTGCACCAAAGAGGTAAATAAGCATTTCAAGACACAAACAGAGCTTTATATTTTGACCCTACTCATTTCTATCATGAAGAACAAATATTCACAAAGTATATATTATTACACCCAAAAGCAGAGAAAAAGCAAGCTTTCATGTGTGACCACATTCCTTCTACTTAAAAGCGCAATTAAGTTTCAGTAAAATTGACAATTGCCTACAAAGCATAATTGGTCTAGCGATCAGAATATATACAAGCGTGATTTCATACTAAGAAATCAAAAACACAGACCATTGTTTTCCCACCTTTTTTCTTACTTTCAAGTTATTGTTTAGCAGGCATATAATTTTGTAGGGCAGATGACTAGCTCCAACCTGTCAAACCTAACTGGTCTGCGACATTATACATTACCAGTTGATCCCAGATAGGACCAAAAAGGCGTTCTCCTCCAATGGCAAATGTCAATGCCCAAGAAGACAAAAGAGCTGAAAACACTGTGAACCCAACTGCTGATCTGAGAACATCTGCCAAAAGAAAAATCTATTTAAAACATATAAACAATAAATCCCACAATTTACAGGGAAAATATAAGCCTGAAAGAAATATGTGGGAAATTTAAAGGACAGATTTGCTTCAAACAACACAATCATTGATATCTATATTTTTCTCAGTAGAACCCCCCCACCAACAAAGGAAAATGTGCACCCGTGCCATCATATTAAAAAAACCCCTTCTACAATGTCGAAAGGGCAAACTGATGATGGAAAATCAACACCATCACTAAAAAGCATGCAGACTTGTGATAGGGAATAATAGGATAAACTCAGATGTAAGACCTTGAAATTAAGCATTACCCTCTAAACTTTTGCCCAAAAGAAGAAAAGACATAGCGTAAGTTAAAAAAGATGAATGGTCTAGTGTCGTCAAGAGTGCAAGGCACACTCTAGGCACTAGAATTCTAATGTTGCCCAAGGTGCAAGGTGCAAAAAAAAGCACTCGCCTAAGCCTCAGAGAGCAGACCTAGCTATGTGAAAAAGGTATGTTTTTTGTTTATTTATCTCCCCTTCCTCCCATCCCCCCAGTCCCCCTTTTTTTGATTGCCTCTTCCGTGTTTTGGCTTTATAAAGCAGAGAAATTGCCTCTGTTTTCAGCTCTCAGTACAGTGGCTGTATACCCCTGTTTTCCTCTTCAGAATCTGGGCAACTCCTCTGGTTTTTGTCTTCCAAAACAGATAATCTCCTGCTCTAGTTTTTTCGTTCAAAGGCATTTTTTCTAATTTTTTCTCCTAAAAGCAAAACATAATGTCTCTTTTTCATCGTAAAAAATGAAACGATATAAGCTTTCTACTAGTTTTTCTCACTTAAGTTATTGCACTAACAATTCTTTTCTCTATTTAAATTGGTGTAGGAAGTTTCAAATGGCAAAAATAAAAATTATCCTAGGTACAAGTTTCTTTGTTATATATATATGCCTTCCTTCACTCATATGAAAGGTTTTCGTGCCTTGCACCTCAGGCAACATAAGGGTCCTAGTGCCGAAAGAGCACCTTGCACTTTTTACAACATTGTATATAACTGTTTCCTCAGTTCTCTAAAACACAAAAACAGAGAGAAAGGGCAGAGACAACAATTGTTTGGCAACACCAAACAACATAACTATCCATCTTAGTAATGCCAAATAAGGTGCAGAATAAGTTAATTGGTAAGACTTTCAACTTTTCCTATTGATCATATTAATTAGGCAACAAAATTCTCACCAATATGGCAGATTGTGGTTATTGGATTCCAATGAAACTGTTTAGAAGTTCTCATTTACGTGCTTCTAACAGACTAAACAGCCACTGATTTGCAATTAAGTAGGCTAAGGCAAATTAAAATTAAAAATGAAAATAATTCATTGCAATTTCGTCAAGTCTAAAGAAAATGGATGAGATAACGATAACTTCGGTTTCCTAATCAAACTGTGACCTTAAATAAAAATATAAAAGCTTTATTTGATCATTACTTTCGCCATTTGCTGCTGCCTTTTTGAAAGTTACATAAAATAGTAAAAACAAAAATATACTTAATTAGTGATGAGCAAATAGCTAAAATAACACATACATTCAAACATAATCGTTTCACATAAAAGTAAACCATATATTTTTGTTCTTCACTACTAATATTTTAATTTTTACTTATTCAAAATTAATTATACTTTTTTATCCAAATGAACTTTTATATTTTTGCTTCTAAAAGCAAAAAGGAAGATAAAAAGGAAAAGCAACAGCCCATGCAACCTACAATTTCCAATAGATAATAGATTGTATAATATTTAGCAACTTAAAGTAATAGGCAACTGAGGCATCATAAAAGAAATTAAAAAAAATAAAATTTTACAATTAAAAAGAAAAAGAAAACCTCAATCTTGATCAATTTGCTAAATGCAACAATAGAAACAAGGTAAAGGAAATGAATTCGAAAAATTTTCAATTGAACCATAGGCGTAAACAAATCAATAAAAAAAATTGAAAAAGCATGAACAGAAAGAATAATTACAGGGGCGAATACGAGGGAAGGAGCGAGAGTGACGGAGAACGGGCCAGAAGTAGAAGCAATTGACGGCCCAAAGCCACGGCAGAAGCGCGTAGCCGAACTTGTAGAACCTCCGCGCGTAGGACAACGATTCTTCCTCCGACAGGCCAAACGGTCCGTCGATTGTGGGCCACACCGGCGTCGATGACAGTATCGAATTGCCGTTGTTTGTGAAATCGTTGTTAGGGTTAGGATTTGGCGTTGCGTTCGATGGTGCCTGTGAGGCTTCCATTTTCAATCTACCACTCCTAATACGACCTCGCTTTTGGAGCTGAACGCAGAGATTTACTTCGGCCTATGGGGGGACGACGCTTTCCTCTTGGGGACTTGGAGAGGAAGAGAAAAAACGAGGCCGTTGCGTTAAAACTCGTCATAATACATTAATTAATACATAAGGTCGAGAATATTTTATATTATTTTTTGTTAGAAAATGGCTATTTCATGGTTTATGTTTTAATATCAAAAATTTAAAAATAATTTATGCAAAAAATAATTTAGAATATAAAAAGAGTATTAAGTATTTAATAAAAAGAAACTTCAAAAAAGAAAAAAGAATGAATGGAATATATTTTATTTAAATTGAAGAGTTATGTAAAATTATAATAAGATTTTATCCTTCAACAATAACCTATAATTGAATCCGGTTTGTAGATATCATTTCCAATTATTATTTCATATATTATTAATCTATTAAATTAAATATATCAATTTATGAGTTTGAATTTTAATATATATATCTCGAAATCAAACTAATTAAAAAATCTTATAAAATATTGATTGGATGTTAATCAAGCACACTTTAAAATTTAATTAAACTTCACTATTAAAGTGTTAATTACAAAATTTTGAATGCCAAGATATTAATTTTTAAGGAAAAACGCACCTATAGTCATCAAGCTTATAATTACATGATAAGATTAACATATATAATATCAGTATATAATTATTGTCATTGAAATCTAAGGTTTTACTTAAATTTTTTTTTTGCTGGCGTGCTTCGTTTTCTTTGTTAAAAATGATAAATCTTTTAAGTAGATGAGCAATTCTTTTTTACATTATACTTTTGTTTCTAGTACTATTTATAGCAAAATTTTATTAAATAATCTAAGGGTGAAATTCATTGGCTTTATTAACATAATTTGCCTAGATCCATACTTATGAGTTAAATAAAATGGGAAGAAGCTTAAAGCATAATTTTATTGTTACATGTTCATTATCGGATATAATATTTATAAAAAATTTTCAATTAAAATGTAACATGTTTTTTATTTTATTCCTTTTTTGAAAATTGGCTATTGAAATTAATTAATTAATCAACATTTTACTATTAAATTTTTTTTCCTAATTAACATTATCTGTTACATTTGAAATAGAAAAAAAGTTGGCAGAACATTTTTTTTCCATTAATGTTTTTTTTTTTTGGTCCCCAAGTAGTACAATACTCAAACTGCAGCGGTTCAAAACTAGAATTTGGTCGTGATACATATAACTATAAATAGAGACACAAGATAGGAAATATGAAAACGTTAATTGATGCAAGATGCGTCCATCTTCAAGGGTGGTAGGTACGCCAATTTGAGTGTTGATCAGGCTTGACTAACGCTCTTTGTACCACACTTTCCAGAATCGACGCAGAACAAGGAACAACAAGTATAGTGGAAGGAATAAAAAGTAGCGGGTTTCGGTTAAGAAGAAAAAGGATCGAGAAATGACACTAAAAGGTGACCGGCATCCTAATATTAGAATGCTAATTTTCGATACCCGGGAAGCACTGCACATGGACATCATTGTAACAAAGGACAAACTGGAAAACAGGCTGATAACTATGGGGACGGAAAAATAATCTGGAGATATGACAAATATTGACATTTGAAAGCATATAGCAAAAAAATGCCAATAATATCTGAAGAGCAGCACTGAAATCTCGGGGAAAAGGTTTAAGGAGGCCCAGGGTTAGGACAAACGCCCCTATAAAGACTGCACAGATTGTAAGATAGAAAACAAGAAATTCAATTGAACCCAAGACTGATTTTCCCACCAGATTTCTGGGAAAAAGAGTCCAACCTCCCAAACAGGAGTACCGGAACCTTCAGCTTGCCAAACTCCACCAGGCGGGCTAAGAATTGCTTGGTAGGTGGCTGTTAATAGCAGTCCTAATATTACTAATAAAGCGTTGCGGTCCTCGCTTGATATGCTATCCATATCCTGGAATAATTCCGCTGATTGCTTTGTTAAAATCTTGACAATTGCTTGCCACAAGTTACCTAAAGTTGAAACTCCGGGAAATGAGCAAACATGAAGTATATTAACGCTCTCTCCGTTGTTAACTTTCGGCCGTGTGATATCCAGAGCCGTTAAACCAGCCTGATTGGTCACATTTTTATCAGCCTTGCTTGCTAATAGTAGTTTCAGCATCTGGTTAATAATTGTGACATAACACAAGCCTCTATAAATTGACAATCTAATACAATAACAAACCGAAGGATCCATTCTTTTAGCGAACTAGTAAAAGTAATTCGAGCAAATAGATGAGGTTTGATCACCTGGGGATGATTATTGGCCGCAGCTCTGTGCAAGGCAGTGTTGCCAGCCCTGTCTTTCCAGTTCACCACGTCCTCACAATAGTCAGTCTTCTTAAGCATCCGGAATAAGGTATGGAGAGCATCTACTCTATTGTTTTCCACTGCGATGTGGAAAGCAGTCTGGTTTTCAATTGTCACATCAAAGATACACACAGGGCAATCCTCAAAAAATTTGGCCAAACGATCAATGTTTCCTTCTTTGATTACACAATGCAAAGGAGTGTAGCCCTCCTTCCCTTTCACACGAACAAGATCTTTATCCATTTCCAGGAGACGAAGCACCATCTCTTTATTCCCGTTATGCAAGGCCAAATGGTGAAGGGAATGACGATGCTCCTGAAAAGGCAATGAGTGCAGCAACTACTGCTGGTTGACAGAGTAGCCCTGCTCTTCCTCGAATGCCAGTTTAAGAGATAGCTGCTACTCAGATTCAGAAGGCTTTTTCGGCATACAGGGTATACTAAAATTTATCACAATGTAATTCATATCAACATCCAAAAATGCATTTAAGTTGTACAATAAATTTATGGAGGCATTTCTGTCTAGGTATCTTTGTAACATTTATTTTCCCAACAACCTTAGCAGATATAGGAACTGATACTTGAGCATGTTTTGGAACAAAACTTCACATTTATATGATGTCTCTTTTTCATTTCTAGGCTTGGATACTTTTTAGTATTGGTGTTTAATAACAGTATAGAGTTTATATCAAATTATGTGTTTGACATTTTAAGATATTGTATGTTTATTATAATTTTAAATTGTATGAACTTAACTTTGCATTTTAGCTTTTATTGTGCTTCTATTATATATTTTGAAAGTTAATTGTGGAAGTCAATTGGACATTTGTTATCGAAATTTTAATTGTTGAATTTTGTTGAATAAGCCTTACTAATCACGTAGGTATTACTAACAGAAAATTTGCGTTGGAGAAGCATTTCCTATGGATTTTTCCATTGGAAAGTTCCAACCGAAATTTTCGTTGGAAATGATTTTTTGACGGAATTTTAGGTTGGAATTGTCCAACGGAAAAATCTGTTGGAAAACCATTTCCAACAGAAAACCATTTCCAACAGAAAATTTCTGTTGGTGATTTCTAGCGGAATTCCGTTTCAAATTAATTTTCAACGAAATTTCGTTGGAAGTGATTTTCCAATGAAAATTAATGCATGAAAGTCATATGTTTATGTATTTTTCAAAGGAATTTTCAACAAATTTTCAATAGAAAATATTACCGACGATACTTTTATAGATAGATTTTTTTACGCAAATTTTCGTTGAAAATTCGTTGGAAATACTATTTATAGTCAAATTTTATTAAATAACCTAAGGGTGAAATTCATGGGTTTTATTAAAAAAGAAACAGTAAAAATTGGAAAAAAGTGAAATTAAAAGGTAAAACTTTCATACTTACAAGAAAAATTGGGCGTTTTCTGAGTCAGTCATAGTGAAAAGGAAACATTACAAGTCGGAAAAGGTGGAACCAAAAGGTTAGAGCGTTCGTGGAAGGAAAGTAGTTTAAAACTTTGGTCTTCATTCTCGTAGTTTCATGGAAATATCCCAAGCCACCATTTTAGACCACTAAGCTAAAAAATTTCAGCTGTTTCCCTTGTCTATCTCCTTCTCAAACTTTTTCTTCCAACCTCAATGCCTAATTGATTTAAAAAATCTGTAATTAATTACGTAAATAATAACAAAAGTTTTCACTTCCTAAAAAAAAAAAACAGTTTCCACGTTTCCACTTGCCGGCAACACTGCAATAACTCGACACCCTCTTATTATGGTGATCAAAGCAACAATTAAATAAAGAAAAAAAGTTACTAATATCCTTGTTACAAAATTGTTCTTCCTAATAACTTGCACACAGCTTATCTTTTTATAAGTAAGTATTCCAATTGTGAGACTCTTTTCTGTTTCTTCTTAATCCATCTATGTGATTATTCACATATATGAATTGTAAAAACTATACCTACGAATGACGTTTAAAATTGTATTGAAAAAGTTCTCAATATAAAATTAATGAAGCAAACTAGGGTATAGTTTCGGTGTTAGAATATATACAGCTTTTACAAGTAAAAATAAATAAAGAAAAACCAAATTAACTCTAAACTAGTCAAAACATTCGAATATTTGATTTATTAATTTATATATAATTTTTTTAAAAAATAAATAATATATATATATATATATATATATATAAACTCTAAACTAATAAACCTATCTAAGCTAAAATTTGAAAAGCACCTATTTCTGAAAACGTGCGTTTCATACACATACGATATGCTGCCTTTGTGCTGTGTTTAAGTGAAACGGTGCGTTTAGAGCATCATTTGTTGTGCTATAGCTTCTGTTTCTTTGAGCCACGATGTCTTTCCTTATTGCTTCCAACTTCAGCTCCTTCTTTTCTGCCATTTATGACTTCTTCTGGACTTATTTGTTCTTCATGTCTGATGCCTGTCATCCTAAATTTGAAGGTGGGCTTGAGGACTGAGATATCAAATCCTGAAAAATATTTTGAGAAATTCATGGGCTTTATTAACATAACCTGGGTTTGACAAACTTGCCTGAATTCATGTTTACGTGTTAAATAACATGCAAAGATCATTAAAGCCTTTTTTTTTTTATCATTACATGTTCATAATTGTAGGGTATAATATTTATCAAATTTTTTATTTTAAAATTCAATCAATTAAAATGTAACTTTTTTTTTTGTTTTTATTCATTTTAAAAAAATGATTATTGAAACTAATTAATTATTATTGTTAATTAATCAACATTTTACTACTATTTTCTTCAAATTAACAGTATCTGTTACATTATGAAATAAAAAGTAGTTGGCAAAACATTTTTTTCCATTAAAGTTTCTTTTGTCCCAAAATAGGAGTACAATATAAAACAGCACTGGTTCAAAACTTGAAAAAGAAAAAGAAGAAGAAGAAGAAGAGGAAGAGGTGATTGTATGACAAATTGACATTTGGTTGTGATACATTTAACTACAAATAGAGATACAACAGAGAACATATGAAATGTTAATAAATGAAAGGTGCGAAGGATTGATAAATGACACCCCAAAGTAACCAGCTTCCTAGTACTATAACACTAATTTTGGATAAACGGGAAGCAGTGGACATGGACATCATTATAACAAAAACCAAAAATATAAATATGTGGATAACTATGGGCAGGTAAAAATAAAATGGAGTTATGGTGTATATTGACGTTTGAAAGCATATAGCAAAAAATGCCAACAATACCTGCAGAGCAGTCTTGAAACCTCGGGGAAACGGTTTAAGGAGGCCCAATGTTAAGAAAGACGCCACTATAAAGACTGCACAGACTGTAAGATAGAAAACAAGAAATTCACCTGGATCCATGATTGATGTTCCTACCATATTTCTACTTTTGCTAGGATGGGTTGGAGTGGGAGTGGAGGTTGGAGCTCCACTAGGCGGGCTTAAACAAGTTGCGGAGACTTCACCTTGCCAAACGCCACCAGGCTGGCTAAGAATTGCTTGGTAGGTGGCTGTTAGTAGCAGTCCTAATATTACTAATAAAGTGTTGCGGTCCTCGCTTGATATGCTATCCATATCCTGAAAAATCTCTGCTGATGCCTTTGTTAGAAGCTTGACGATCAGTTGCCGCAACTTATATAAAGCTGAAACTCCAGGAAATGAACAAACTCCAAGTATATTAATGCTCTCTCGATTGTTAACCTGGCCCCGTGCAACATCCAGGGCAGTTAAACCAGCTTGATTGGTCACATTTTTATCAGCCTTGCATGCTAATAGCAGTTTGAGCATCTAGGTGAAGACATAATCCTCTATCAATTAATGACCGAAAATTACAATCACAAAAGGATCCATTTCTTTTACCAAAAGTAAAATTAATTCGAGAGGGTAAGTGAGATTTGATGACCTGGGGGTAACTCTTGGCCGCAGCTCTGTGCAATGCAGTGTTGCCATACTTATCTTTCCGGTTCACCACGTATTGACAACAGTCGGTCTTCTTCAGCATCTTGGATAAGACACGAAGAGCAGCTAATCTATTGTTTTCAACAGCAATGTGGAAAGCAGTCTCATTTTGAATTGTCACGTCAAAGATACATTCAGGACAATCCTCCAAAAATTTGGCCAAAAGATCAAGGTTTCCTTCTCTAGTTACGTAATGCAAAGGAGTGTACCCCTTCTTCCCTTTCACACGAACAAGATCTTTATTGATCTCCAGGAGACGAAGCACCGTCTCTTTATGCCCGTTTTGCAAGGCCAGGTGAAGGGAGCTAAAACCATGTTGGTTCAACTTCTTAGCAAACGATGGCTTTAAGTTCATCATCTCCATCACAAAATCGGTGTGCCCTGCGGCTGCAGCTATGTGTAAGGGAGTGTCAACAAACTCCACCTCATCAATGCGCTTCAAAACATCTCCATCTTCTTGAATTGATGCATAGAGTGCCTCGATATTTCCTGCTAGAGCAGCTCCCCTCCATCCGGGAAATCATAGCGAGACGAGAAACGCTATAGGCAGAGAATTGGAGGCGTTTGAGCTAATAATTATAGTAACTAGTTTGTTGAGAGAGAAATTAGTTGTGGCTTGTGAAGGAAATGAGGAGGGATTATCTGTCCCACATCAGGATTGCGTTTCTTTTAAGGTGCTTGTCTTCATGATCGTTGACGTTTAATCAGTCGATCAAAGTCAACAAGGAAACACTCAAACGCCAAATAAAAAGGTGAAGCTTTCACACTTACGAGAAAACGTGGGTGTTTTTTGAGTCAATCAATTATAGTGAAAGGAAAACATTACAAGCTAGAAAAGGTGGAACAAAAAGATACAGCTTTCATGGAACGAATTGTAGTTTTGAACTTTGGTCTTCATTCTCTTAATTTCATGGAAATAACCCAAACTATTATTGGACCACCAAGCTCCAAACATTTCGGTAGGTACCCTTCTCTATCTCCTTCTCAAATTTTTTCTTCAAATGTCAATGTCTAATTAAGCGTGGCGAACATTCACCTCAATGCTAATTGCCTTCAGAAGTGGGATCAACCTTATTGACTAGTTGTCTTGCTATTATCACTAGTTAATAAGATTAAATTATCAAAATGTCAGCGATTACTACTAACTTTAAAGGATGTTAAATCACCCTTAAAATTTTTTGAGAAACAAAAAAGTTGATTTAAAAAATGTGCATTTAATTATGTAAATAGTAACAACAGTTTTCTTCTTCTTTTTTTTTTTAAAAAAAAAGTTTCCATGTTACCACTTACTGGCAAGATATGATCAGATCTGATGTAATTTCAATGTTTATGTGGTGGGTGTTTCTTTGGTCCACTTGATATTTAAGATTTCAACTTTTCAAAGTTTATAGTCATTGTCACGCGATGTGTCTCTTTTTCAACTTCTTTTTTCTGAGAATTTTTTATTATGGATAGTCAACATTGATACGAGAGTAACATATACCTTAGAATAGGTCTTGTGCTTTGACTAGGCATGGCGATCTGTTGCCCACACCCTACGAGAAAGCAACTCTTTTATAAATTCACATAGCAAATAGGCATGGTGTCCTTTGTCCACATTTTAACCCTTTTACAGATTCACGTAGCGACATCTGCTATGTGTAAAGGAGTGTCAAACAAATTCCGCCTCAATGCGTTATACGATATGTTAAGAAATATTATTATTATTTTTTATGAAAAAATATTATATTAAAAAATATTATATTACGCTTCATATTTTAAAATTTAATTCTTACACGTTATGTTAAAAATATAATTATTATATATTAAGTTAAAAATTTAATTGTTATATATCATGTTGAAAATGTAATTATTACACGTCAAGTTAAAAATTTAGTTATTACATACCATATTAAAAAATGTAATTGTTATACGTTATGGTGAAGATTTAGTTATTACATATCATGGTGTAGTTATTTTAAATTATATTTCATAACTATTTTATATTTAAAATTTTAATTTTTTTGGAAAAATGCTATGTTATGGTTTATATTTTAACATCAAAAAGTAAAAATATAATTAATGCAAAAATAATTTAGTATATAAAAGAGCATTAAGCATTTAATAAAAAGAAACTTAAAAAAAGAATGAATGGAATATATTTTATTTAAATTGAAGTTTTATGTAAAATTATAATAAAATTTTATCCTTCAATAATAACCCTATAATTAAATCCAGTTTGTAGATATCATTTCCAATTATTTTTTTAATGTATTATTAATCTATTAAATTAAATATATCAATTTGTGAGTTTGAATTTTAATACATATCCCCAAATCAAGCTAATTAAAAGATCTAATTAAGTATCAATAGGATGTTAATCAAGCATACTTTATAATTTAATTAAACCTCACTATTAAAGTGTTAATTACAAAATTTTAAATACTGAGATGATAAATTTAAGGAAAACGTCCCTTAATTTATGAAGCTTATACATTACATGATAAGATGAGCATACATAATATAATATTAGTCTATAATAATTGTCATCGCAATTTAGAGTTTTACTGACTTTTTTTTATACTCACCTGCTCCGTTTTCTTTGTTAAAAGTAGAGTTGTCAATATGGGTTGGCCCGGCCCAGTGCAGCCCCAGCCCTTGTGGGTTAAAAAAAATATGAGTTGAGCCGGATCAGCCTATTTTTTGTATGGACCATCAAAACCTCAACCCAACCCACCTCTTGTTAACCCATGGGTTGGGTTGGGCTAGCTTATTTTTATTTTTTTCAAAAAAAATTAATTTTTATAATTTTACTTGATAAATTTTTTATGTAATAAAATTGTTCTTGATTTAATTCATAAATTGAATAATAAAAACATGTTACAAATAAATAAATTACATCAAATATAAAAAAATAAATAAATTACATAAAATAAATTAATCTTTAACACAAACTACTATTTCATAAACATAAGTATATAACCAAATAATAAAAATTTCAAGACTCATTTATAGCCTCCTCAATCTTCATTCTTAAGTAAAACATTTAAATCTTGTTTAGACAGTAATAATGTCTAAAGGTCTGAATTATTATCAATTTATCATTTAATATTCAT